TTTTAATTTGTGTTTTCCTAATTACTAGTGAGGTTGATCACTAAGTTGTGTATCTTTTCAGATGTTTCTTGGCCTTTCAGCTTTTGTGATGTGATTTACCTGTTCGTAGCTATTTATTGAATTTGTCTTTTAAAAATGGATTTATTGGAATCCTTTATTTGTTACAGGTACTGATTCTCATTTTGTGGTGTACCACAAGTATCTTCTATCAATCTTTTAAACTTTTTTTAAAGGCAGTTATCTTTTCAAATAGAAGTTTTACATATTAATGAGGTTGTATTTTCACTCTTTGTGCTCTTAGTTCTTTCCTGCATTTGTGTCATAAAGGATATTTATAAGAACAGTGATCAAATAGTCTGACAAGCCTAAAAGGAGTGAATACTCCCTGGCCCTTTATGAAAAAAATTTGCTGGCTCTTACTCTGAAGTGCTATTATTGAAAGTTTTTTATTTTTTCCTTATGGAACATAACATGGATTTTTTAAAGAAAAGATTTAATTTAAATATCAACCAGTAATAATTTACCCTTACAAAAATTTAATTTAAATATCAACCAGTAATAGTTTACCCTTACAAAAATTATAATTTTGTAATTGCACTTGGAAAGTAATGCACTTAGAACTTTAAACAGTTCATTAATTCATGAATGAAACTAGTATTAATAAACTCCCAAACTGTACTTTGTAGAGCAATTAAAAAGAGAAGTCCTCTGTTAGTGACATGAGGTGACCCTTGTTATTGTCTTTCTACTGGGCTTGATACATCTGGTGTTCTAAGGTTTCTTAAATGAATGGATGAATGAAATGGGATAATACATGTAACATGCATAGCTCAGAGATAATCTTAGTAAATGGTAGTTATTATGAATAATGAACATCAGGATATGTTTGTCACACACAACTAAAGTAGCTCAAATATTAGCATAAAGTGACTTTTTTTGGGTCTCTGATAATTTGTCCTGTACTTTTTCATTTTAAAGCTAATCTTTTCACTTGAAAATATCTTTTTGAAATTTAAGTCACTTTATATTAAGATATCATTTAAGCATCTGTTATTTTTTTAAAATGTGCTGTTAGTAGTTGGTTCAGGTATGTTTGGTCATAGACTACCAATTAAAAACAAAGTTATAGCTAGGGATTTAGCTTAGTAACTAAGTGCCTATCTGGCAAGCACAAGGTCATGAGTTCAATCCATGGTTCAAAAAAAAAAAAAAAACCACAGAAAAACCACCCAAAGTTATAGTTATATATATAACACTGTGATAAGTGAATGAGTTATATAAAGAAGTGTAAGAGATAGTTTTTGTCATTAAGGAATTTGTAAAGTGGTTGGAAAGGCAGTACATGTACAGGTGGAAAGTTAAGAAAAAAATGTTACTGTTTCATATACCTAGTTTCCCCTTTATTTCATATAAATCAACCTTTTTCAGTCTTCCCTTCATTATTTTTATCCTAAATATACCTTTTTGTGTCTGTTTTTAAAACTCAGATGATAAGTCTCCCTTTAGGAGCTCTTCTAATACACACATTACCATAGTAACTTTTTCTCTAGTAGTGAGATTAGTTTCTATTTCCTTATCGTTTTTTAATGTCTAAAAATGCTTAATCACTGTGTTTATCTTTCAAGATGTAAGTATTCTATTTTAGGGGAGTGAGTCAGGAAAGTTTGGAAAAGTCCAGAAATTCAGTTACCATTGTAGTATCTTAGTATTTGATCTTCTAATTATCACTTTATGAAAGAAATGGTGGCAAGGCCTCAGCAGTTTCTTTCAAGATCAAATATTCTAGTCCTTCCTCCTTTCAAAGAATGTCGATAGTATATATTTATATAATAGGACAAGAGAGGAAAAGAAATTATTAAACAGATGGGAAGATTTTCTAACAGTCCTTGGTTGCGGGTCCTCTTAAGAACAGTTTTGGCTATTGTAAATTTGAAATGTAGGCTTAAACAATCAAGTTCTGCATATGGAAATATTAACAGCTGTCACACCCACAAATATCCCTTATGTTTCTCTTTAAATATTACATTTTTGTTGTTACTAGTGTTGGGCTTCCTTACCTTTTATTGAAGTAAAAAGACTTTAAATTTATTCTGGTTTCCTAATAAAATCTCTGTAAATTTAAATAGAAAAAGGAAAGTGCTTTCAAAAAATAAACCTAAATAATAAAACACACACACAAAAAGATAAACCTGGTTAGCAGGAAACTAGTTAGCAGGAAAAATAATGAGAGGTATAAAACTATTTAGTTTTATTTATCTGATAGACTCCTAGGTCAAAAAGTTTCAGAGAAAGGCTATAAAGAGTTAGCCTGTTAATAGGTGTGGGAATATTCTGACTCCTGTCATTGTTATCATCAAGATTCTTTCTCTTTCTGATAGCATTGAAAACTGCTGATTTTGGTATAAGTAATTCTCTTTTAAAAGTTATTAAATAAATGTTTTCTTTGAGGTCTCTGTTCTAATGCCATGTTCAGTTTTTCCACCTCCAAATATAAATGTACCAAATCCTTAAATGGAAACTTAAATAAAACATCACTTCTAAAGAAATAATTCCTTTTTAATAATGTAAAGGAAAAAGAATCAACTTTCTGAATTTCTGTCTTATACTCTACTTATCTAATCATTCATTGAAAACCATATTTAAGGAGTCTACCGTGAATTCATAAAATATATAATTCAGCTTACTTTAAAACTACAAAAATATATTTAATATAAAATAGCCACGGTTTATAATTTTCAGAATTACAGTATAAAAACTGCACAGTGAAACCCTGAATCAAAAAGACAAAAAAATTTAAGTTTGAATGCAAAGTAGGAAGTTAAAAATTATGTAATATCATCCCTCTTTATTTGAAAAAAATTATGTGAAATATAAGTTTGCATGTATATATACAAGTTGTGCAGTACATTATTTGTCTTGGGATTTATTTATTGCTTATATTTCTATGTCTGAGTTTGGGTAGTCAGGAATTAAAAGGAGTAAGTGATGAACTTTATAGAATTAATGTTAAATAAATAAAAAAGTAGGCTTTCCAAGCCTTGGGATGTAATCATTTATCATTGGATGTGATACATCCATATAGCATAAAAACATTGCATTGGGGCCTAGCATCCATATATTCAAGTGAATTTACCAGTATCAGAAGGAAGAGACATAAAATTGAGTAAAAAATTGAAGATAGGAAAAGGTAAACTAATTCTGCTATCTGAAGTTACCTCAATCGTCATGGTATGTTGATTAATTAATGTGATGATTGCAAATACCAAAAAGAACTGTCAAAATATCATGATATATTTTGTATTCCATAAATTGTTGGATATTGCAACATATGTAACATAAACCACATGTCAGCTGTTTCCTGCTTCACTGCTCACAAGAGCTCCATTCATAACTCTTCTTTTTATCCTTTCAGTGAATAAGTAATTATTCAATATAGAAGGCAGGATATTTGGAACTGGCTATTTAATGTGGCAGCACTCTGTAATGATATCTGCTGTTACTGGCAACCTGAGAGGGGAATGTAACAATTCCAGCATGGCCGTAACTTTATCTACTTTGACTGACTTTATTTGGCACATCAGTAAACCTTTTATCCCAGTGAGTGACAGCCCAGAAGGGTCACATTTACATCCATTCTATCATGTATTGTAATATTTAATGGCGGACAAGGTTGAGTGAGACTGGGAGTAATTTGAACTTGGTTTTCCACTGAGTTGAGGGTAAAAGTGCTTGATCCTCAGTATTGTGGTGTAACATGCTACGAATTAGCATTTGTTTATGAAGACTAATCTTACTGATTACAATTTTTTTTAAAAAAAAATTTAAACATTTTAGTAATGTAATTGTTCTATTAAACTGAAATTCTCTAGTACAAATTCTTTTAGATTAGTGTGTTGTTTTTATCTTTTTCCCTTAGCATTATTTTACTAAACAAGGCTTAGTTTTGTTTCATTTATATTTCATTTGGTGAAGAAAGTAATTATTAAGAATCTATGAATTCTAAAAGTTAAAAATTTTTTGTTTTTTAAATTTGGAAACATCGGATAAACAAGGCAAATATTTGACTGTATTTCTTGAGTTCCATGTGGTGTATTTAAGGATACACTTATATAACTAAATTGTGAAACTGAATTACAAATGAATTGTCTAGAAAAAGCTGTCTTGGATAATATTTTTATCTGGTTTGCTTTCTGTGGAAGTTAGATTTCAGATATACTTGTATCATACAAGCAATCTGCTTTCATGTTAAATGTTACTGTTTTGCATTCATTTTCATACCTTTGCAAGAGAAGAAATTTCTGTATTCATTTTGTTAGTGAAACATGAAGTTTAGTTTTATAGTCTTATTCTTCTGTAAATTATTTTTCAAAATTCTTTTTAAATACCTTAATAATAGATTATTTGAACAAAGGGTAGGAACAAAACTATCAACTCTGTATCACAAGTTCATGCAGTACCTAAGCAGAAGTCAAAATTACTTTGTCATCACAATTTTATAAGAAGGGTTAAAATGTACTTGAAACATTTGGAATTGGCACGATAGAGTAGTATATTAGAAAGAATGCAAACATGGAAACATCATATATAACCTTTTTTTTTCCTTTCCTTTTGTTTTTCCTCTTGATGATATTGGAGATTGAGCCCAGGGTCTCTGCCTGAACTATATTTACAGCGCTATTTATTTTTCATTTTAAGCAGTCTCATTAAGTTGCCCAGGCTGACCTTGAACCTGCAGTCCTCCTGCCTTAGCCTCCCATGTAGCTGAGAGTACAAGTGTGCACCACCATACCTGGCTCATATATAAGTTTTAAAAGGGAGAAAAAGGACTACTTTGAAATGGAGTTTTTCTTTAATGGCAAGTTTTAGATAGTGTAATATCTTTGTATTTTTTCTTTGACAGATGGTGACTCATTACTTATAAACTGTGATTCCATGAAAAGTTTGCTAACACTTTTTATAGTAGTCCAGATACTTGTTAGCTTTTCTTTCCTTTGTTACAGCCCCCTGGCCACTGTTCTAAGTGCTGCTGTTCTGCTAAACAAGGAAACAATCAAGAGTCTTCAAATACAATTAAGAAGGATCATGGGGGGAAATTCAAGAGGCCCAAAATATATTTTGGGACCCGTACACACAAGCAGATTGCTCAGATTACTAGAGAGCTCCGGAAGACAGCATATTCAGGGGTCCCCATGACTATTCTTTCCAGCAGGGATCATACTTGTGTCCATCCTGAAGTAGTTGGTAACTTCAACAGAAATGAAAAGTGCATGGAATTGCTGGATGGAAAAAATGTGAGTGAAATTATTTTGTTTTATAGAAAAAATAGGCTGAAAAGATTCAGATTACTTAAGATATGTTTTACCTATACTTTTATACTGTTAAATATAAATAACTTTGGAAAATAAAATAATTGCTGATATTGACATATTTTTGGAAAAATAATTTTACCATAAGAAAATATTTAATTTTCAAATTGTAAAGTTTGGAGATTTTAATTCCTTAAAATTAATTTCCTTTGTAGTTAGATGTTATGTCTTTTAAATCCCTGTACCAGAAAGTCATATGTAGATGATGTCATGTGAACCTGTTTAGTTTATTTAGATCTAATTAATATATTTTGTATATTTAAAAACTTCAAAGGAAAATTAGGCAGTCTGAGCAAAATTAAATGGTTTTTAATTAAATGTGAAATATAATTATCCTACCTCATAATTCTAATTAGTACAAAATTCTATTCTAAAAGTCAGATTATTAACTCATAGATGGTTTTGAACTTTTTCAGGGAGCTTACAAATCTGTATAAGGCAGAAATAGAATAGTCTTTCTAACTAAAATATTTTGGGGGACAGTATTATCTTTGGGAGTCTGTTCCAGAATAACTAATTTACCTTATAATTGAAGTTGCAAGTATGAAAGTATATTCAGAAGCCATCAGTAAATCAACATATGAACTGGCCAATGATATTTAATGTATTTTGAAAGTTTTATTGCTTATTAGTATTTTATCAAAGAGAGTTGTTTCTACACAATTGATTGTGAACTATTGTGCCTAGAGTTTTATTGATATATTACTTACTGTCATATAGTGTGTATAAATTGTTTTACATTATGCTTTTCTTTCTCAGTGCTTTGATTAAATGAGAATTCAAGCTTTAGGGATATTAAAAATACTTAAATATTCAAATATTTTAAAATTATAAAGTAAAATTTGTAAGGTGCTGCAGTAGAAAAATATGAATGATTTGTTTAGAGCCAATCAGAAAATACAGAATTAGAGAATCAAAACCGATTGTTGAAATCCTAGTCATATTTATTTCCATGTAGTTCTTCCTGAGGAACTGTGAAATCTTTTACTGTATATATTTTAAAAGTTCTTTTAAAGGAGAGTTGAAAATATTAAAAATCAAGTGTTAACATCACAGATTTCATGCTTAGGTAGACCTCTTTCCAAAAGAAGTGATTTGCTGAATTTCTCAAATGCTTGAATTTCTTTTTAGCTCCATAGTCTATGATAAATTTGCTGCCATTGTCATTATATTTTAACATTTTTTGTTGGTGAGAAAATTACATACCTAAAAAATACATACATTGATAAAATACATTGGTACAGCAACTAAAAAGTTTAAGGTTGTATATTGAAGGCAGATAGCCTTATAGTTTTTTAGAATCCTAGCATACTGGTTATATTTTTGATTGCTCTTTATTCTCATAAATTTGAATCATGTAAAAATAAAAAGAAATTCAGTATATGTCAATATTCAGAATTATTCATTGGTCTTTAGTTTGTCCTAACATGAATAAAAATTCTGCTTTTGAATGTCAGTGACACAAATAATTGAAGATAATCTGCTTGTTGATTGCTTTGACCTAATTCTAATTCTGCCTCAGATTGTTTTCCACATGGGCATACATGGACCATTCTTTTTCTTGTTCCCAAGCCCTCAGAGTAATTTGGTATTGTAATGAGGGCCAATTACAAAGTCACCATAGGTGTCTGTGTTTACCATGTCTGAATCACCAAAGAGAAATGATAAATAGATAGCTGACAGTTTGAGTGAAAAGAGTTCAAGTGTGATAACGCTTCAATTGACAGACTCCCCTCAGGGTTGTATTACACAGCTAAAATGGATGAGCTTTTCTGGTTTTGCTATCAAACTGCATGGGGCTGTTATTCTCAGTGCCCTTAAAGTGTCAATGTTCTGATTTTTTGGCTTGATCTGAAGGCACATATGCTTTTGTTCACTGTTTATTAAAGTGCTCTCATACTACAAAAGTGTGCACTTTCTATTACAAGTTAATTTATGTTTCAGTTAAGAAAAAATTTTAAATAGTAATGACAGTTCTAAAAATGTACTTTAGATACAGAATATGTATTCTTCATTAAAGTAAGACTTAGCAGTTCACCGTCATAGATTTTAAGGCATTTTAATGATCATTTTGTAAAAAGATGAACTTTCAGAATTGTATGGAAAAATGCTTGAAATGAAGAAATTGGTAAACATCATAATATTAAAGAGTCCCTATCAGACTCAGTATGAGAGATGTTGGCACTTCTCCACCTCTCTGTGAATCTGAGAATCACAATGTTTGAGCTGGAAGGAACTTTAGAGATATATAGTCAGTGAGTCTGCTGGTTCACCCACTCTATTGATGCTTAGTCACATGAGAAAAATGGATCCTGAAGTATGTCCAGTTGGGCAAGTTATTAGCTAGAAAGGAGGAACCAGAACCCAAGTTTGATTACACTAGGAAAGGGGATGGGTATGAAAGTATGGGGGAAGGTGAGAGATAAAAGAACAAAAATAGTAGATTTAAAGACAGTAGCAGTTACATAAGTAAATGAAAATAATTTAGTTAGATGAGGCCTTTCCTGCTCCTTATTTTTAGTATTTTGGAGAAGCAACAGATAGCTTCCCTGAATATGGCTCAGTACACATGTCTTTTCTTTAGATTTGCTGACATTCTTATGGGTTCTGAAACTTGAATGGCTTATTCTATTTCTAGTAATTTCTAGGAACATTAGTGTATTTAATAATGTCTATATGTTTTGAAAGGTTAGATTTGTCTCCTTTGGGGTACTTCATAGATAAAAGGACATACATATATATTACGTGTGTACATGTATGTGTGTGCACACATTCATAAATATAATTCTTTGTACCTATTAAAGATAAGCCAAGGAAGATTTTTTTTACTTCAAAATCACATTTAATTTTTATTAATACATGAAATTAATGAAAATAAAAATGTCTCATTCCATCACTTAGTGTCAAATGGTATTTGAAAAAGAAAAATAATATATGTACATCGTTAAAAGAACTCCTTCTGTCCCCTAGCCAGTTATTTCAAGTAAGCTACTATAAAATTTTGTGTTCATTTTTCTAGAACAAGTAGAAAACGCATTTGCTATAATGCATGTGTATTTATTCTTTTAAACTATTTTTCTCAACTTGTTTTGCTATTTTTTTTAATTTTAAAATTTTTATTAGTACAAGTTTGCAGTACATAATGATTACATTTATTGTGGAGCTTTGATACATTTACATAACACATCTCAATTTTTTTATTCCCCTCGCCCTCAACCACTCCCCTCTTTTTTTTTCTGCTAGCATTAGCTTCATTTGTTTATAAGTTCTTATAAAGTTAATTATTGTATATTCAGATTAACAACTAGACTGATAAACCAAACTGATAGACATATAAAACACATTAATATAGTGTTTTAGAAAGCCAATCAGCAGTACAAAGGCAAAATATAACTTTTGTTGAGGGGAGAGCATACTGGGAATTAACACTCAGGACCTCACAGATTATAGACATGTGCTACTATGTCCTATTCCAGTGTTTAGCTATTAAACAGTGCGGTCTGTACGCTGTATATGAACATTAATGGTTAAATTTAAAATTTTGACAGGTGCTATACCACAGCTATATCCCTGGCTCAAATGTAACTCAGTTTTGTATGAAGTAATCATCTGTTTAATCTGTTTACTGTGGGTAGTTGACATTAGATTTATTTTCAGTTTTTGTTTGTTTTTTCAGACAATTTCTTGCTATGTATTCCAGGCTAGCATTGGACTTCACTGTGGAGCCCAGGATGACCTTAAACTCCTGGCAATCTTCTTGCCTCAGCCTCCTAAGTGCTGGGATTATAAACATGTGCTACTATGTCCTAATTTCAGTTTTTAGCTATTAAACAGTCTGTATGCTGGATATTAACATTAATGGTTAAATTTAAAATTTTGACAGTTTTTTTTTTTTTTTACAAATTGTGTATTTCTACTAGAAGTTTTACTAGAAGTATATATTTATACTAATTTTATACATTTTAAAGTAGTGTATGAGGCACTTTTGCTAGGACTGCATTTTATCATTGTTTAAAATGCGTGTAATAAAACTTTTACTTTCAGTAATAGCAAAGGCATTAGTATATAACATAGGAGAAGAAGCAAATTACTGTTGGGCCTCCTACAAAATGTTAATGTTGTTGAAACTCATTTAAAAAACCCATAGGACCAAGGATGTAGCATTGTGGCATAGTGCCTGCCTGGCAAGTACAAGGCCCTGCGTTCAAATGAAAACAAAGCAAATCAAAACAAGAAGGTTCTATTTTTCACCTTTAAGTAGGGAAAGATAAGAAAAGATACTATAGTGTCAATAAGGATATGAAAATGGGTAATGTAAAATTACATATATTTTCTGGAGGATAATTTAGGAATGTTTTCAAGAGACCTAAAAGTTCTTCGGTCTCTAGTCCCATAATGCCCTTTCTGAAAATGTACGATACTAAGAAATATTTGAAATTAAACATAAGGCAGTTCATTCCAGTACTGTTTAAAAAGTAGAAACTGGTAACAGTGTATGTTGCTAATAATAAGGGAACTAGTTCAACTTGGCATGTTAAAGCGCTTATGTGAATAGTAGTGAAAAAATACCTAGTGATATGAGATTCTCCTGATACAGTTTTTAACAAAGTGAAGAACAAGTGAGTCTAGTCTTATGTTTAGTGTAGCTAGATTGTTAATAATTGTCAGTTTCTGGGAAAATTTTGCATTGTCTTAAAATTGGATCACACTGAGATGTGTCCTCATGTACTAAGTATAAAAAATGGTGAAATGAAACACATCATACTGTTAACAATGTATTTTTTTGTGTGATGAAATTATAATTTAGGGATTTTTTTGATGCTTTTACATTTTCTGATTCGTGTGTGTGTGTTTGTGTGTGTGTGTGTGTGTGTGTGTGTGTGTGTGTTTGTGTGTATGGTGATCTGTTCTGTATTTTCCCCCAAAATGTTCCAAACTACCTTACTTGCTTCCTTTCTTCCTTGCTCTTTTTCCCTCTTCCTTCCCCCTTTCTTCCACTTACTGTTCCTCATATTCATCAAAATTGAAAAAGTATGAGTCTACAGAGAAAAATCTCTTTTATTCCTGTTCTGAAGTCACTTAGTTCCTATCCCTGAAAGCAACCAATAATACCTTAGCTTTTTGAATTCTTGTTTTTGTTGTTGTTGTTTTTGAGACAGGTTCTCACTAAGAGTTCAGGCTGGCCTTGAACTCAGTCACTAGGTAGCCCAGGCTGGTCTCAAACTTATGGCAATTCTCCTGCCTCAGCTTCCCTAGTGCTAGGATAACAGGAATGCACTACCACATCCAGTACCTTGAATATTCTTTCAAATTTTATACCTAATGTCATTCAATCAGAACGAAGGCACAAGAAGCGTAGTTTTAAAATACTTACCTTTTGTTGATTTAGGATGTTTAGAGCTTAACTGATCTGGGTCTTTGTCTGATTTGGAAGTCAAACACTGTAGTTTCTTTAAAATGGTGTGACTTTAGCCAGCCCTGATGGTTTGCACCTATATTCCCAGCTGTCTCTGGACATGAGGCAGGAGGTGCACTTAAGCTTGTGAAACATCGGGCCAGAGATCCTGTGTCTTACAGAAAAAAAAGTTATGATTGGGAAAAATATGGCATAATCTGGCTCCTTTGTGAAATCTTAGTCCTGTGACTTTAATAATGTTTCTGTGATTCTGAGATAAAACATTCTAGTCTAATATTGGTTCCATTTCCATTTTATGTATTTGTCTTTTAGGGAAAATCTTGCTACTTTTATCATGGTGTTAATAAAATTAGTGACCAACACACATTCCAGGCCCTTCAAGGGATGCACAAAGCCTGGGATATAGAAGAACTTGTCAGCCTGGGGAGGAAACTAAAGGCATGTCCATATTATACGGCTCGAGAACTGACAGAAGGTGCTGACATAATATTTTGTCCCTACAACTATCTTCTAGATGCACAAATAAGAGAAAGTGTAAGTATATATGAAAGATCAGGATAACTTTTTCCTGCTTACTGCTATGTAAATGATGAGTATAAAAGCTTTTTGATGTTTTAAAGGCTTTGTTTTTTGCTTTATATTGAATTTATATAAATAGAATACAGAAAACATATTCTAAGGTATATGAATTGTAGAGCTAGTTATTTTAATTTCCAAAATAGTAAGCAGTTTTAAGGAACTAGTGACTAAGTAAAACCAGAGTGGTTTAATTTTCTTTTGCTTTTCAAAAAATTTTTAAAACTTTATACAATTTATTTTAAAGAGAATAAAACAAAACAATAAGACAGAACAAAACAAAACAGTGTGAACAATATTGGATTTCAAAAACAAGATAGAAGAAAATCCCCCATAGTTGCTATATTGCATATTATCATTCTCTAGATAGATGCCCAGACTACCAGTTTTAGGCCTGCAAAGTCAAACAATACAAGTGTTAAGTTGTTATTTTTAATTTCAATTGCTAGCATCTCAGCCTGTGGTCCTCCAGATCAGCCAGTTGCTTATGGGGGAGGTGCTCTTCTTGTCTCTCAACCTGAGTGCTGGCTAGCTCGTTAGAGGCTACGGCTTGACTTCTTGATTCTTCTCTCGGCCTGCATGGCTGCTGTGGCTCATAGAAGGATGTGGCTTGGCTTCTTAGTTCTCCTTCCAGGCCAGGTGGCTGCCTCTGGCTCACAGAAAGGCGTAGGTTGGTTTCTTGCTTCTCCTTTCAGCCCAGGACTCTTCTTTTGCTTTTTTGAGACAGGCTCTTGCTTTTTAATTCAGGCTTGCCTTGAACTCATTATGTAGCCCAAGATGACCTTGAACTCACAAGAATCTTCCTGCTTAAGCCTCCTGAGTGCTGGGATTATAGGCATGTCCCACCATGCCCCGCATGTACCAGGATTTTTGAACATTGACCATAATGACATTTTAGGCTACATAATTCTGTAATTTGTTTTGGTAGGCCAGGATTGTGTGCTGTTGGATGTGCAGTAGCATCCCTACTTTTATCTACTAGATACCAGTAGCATCCTTACAGTTGTGACCATCATATGCCTACAAATGTTGTATATTTTCTTCAAATAAGAATCATAATCATTCTTTCTTTTCATGAATAGTCAAAAAGAATTATTTAAAGACATGTCTCTGAAAAAGCTGTGTTTTGAAGAACTTGTATTGGGAGTATATAAATACTATAAAAATTATGATTTGTGAGTTTTTGAGATATGAACCTCAGATTTATTTGCCTGATTCTTAGAGACATCCAGTTGTTAAGGCAGAAGACATAAAAAGTAAGTAAGTTGTTGTAGGTCATTGTGTTTCCATTCATCATGTCTGACTGCATTTCTTATTGGCTGCTATTTCTTTACATTCAGAATTAATAAGCACTATGTTTACTATCACTAGTCCTATCCTTTTATACTACCTCTTAGTGGTTGCCTCTTGGCTAGGTATCTTTTCTCTGGGCCATTGCACATACCAATACTAGTCAGTCTTCCTATTTATTACATTCTTCCCCTAAAAATCTCCTGTTGTGCCCTTTTCTCTGGAATAAAATCCATATTTCTTAAATTTACATTCAAGAGTCTGACCTAGATTTCCTTTTGAGCTTTCTCTCATAAAATTACCAAATTAAACCCTTAAAAAATTTCCATATAATCCCCAGAAGATAACTTTTTTCCTTGATCTCTGCTCTGAATTACATCTCTGTTGAAATACTCTGCTCATTTTTGTCCTAATTTATAAACAGTCTGTTTTCTATTCTTTTATAATTCTTTTTTAGTTGTTTTTAGCCTTATGTGTATTATTACGGAGAAGAACTCATTGGCATTTGCTTTGTGACATTTCCCTGTATTAGTCAAATCGCCTTTGAATTGCAAGTGACACAAACCCAACTTAAAAAAGGGAGTTCCAGAAACAATTGATTTTTGCATTTTGATGCTTTTTCTTTTTTTTTTATTTAAAGAGAAAAAAAAAAACAAAAAAGGGTAGAAATAATACATAACTTCAGAAAAATAAACAGTAGGAAGTCACTAGTTGATAAGTTACATATTGTCATCTTAGAAATAGTGTTCAAGTTACAAAACTAAAGCATACAAAGTGATATTCAAATAATGACACTGCAAACAATTCTGTTCAGTGATCCAACAAAAACTTAATAATATGGTTAACAGTCCTACACACTTGTTTTTTATCTTAAAGAGGGTAAGATTAAACATGTCAAAACAGAACAAAACAGTTCATAAGGAAACAATTTAAAGAAACAGATTCAAAGCAAGTCCACTGGAGGTCTTCACTGTCTATTTATTGTCTCTAGTTTTCTTCCAAATAGTTGTCCCCATCTTCATACACCTTGAATATATACTGAACATTATAGAACTAATCAAATCATTACAGGATGATGAAGGCTTTTTAGGTCTTTAAGATCTGACATTGGGGAAGTCAATAGTGACTACCATAATGCTCTTACTCTCTTTGAAGTAGCTGTCTTTGTCTTTATGGATGCTGAAATTGAACATAAGAGACTAGACTAATACCCATTCTGCACAGCGAATAATAGTATTGCTAAATTTTATATCATAATGCTACAGAATTAGCACTGGATTATCAGGATTATTTTAGTTTCTCTTCTTCAGAATATCTGTTCATTACATCATGCATCATATAATCTATTCTCATAAACTGTTTAGAAGTTCTACACATTCATGAATCTCTACATGTATACCTATCCTTTCTGTATTATAGGGAAAAGCAGATCAAAACAAGACAACGAAACAAATTCCTAGAAAAACATGAAATGAAAAAGACATATAAAACCACAATACTAGGTGATCTACAGTGGTTACTATGATATCTCTTGTTATTTTCAATAGAATTGTCTATATCATCAGGCATAGTGTAATTGAACATAGCACTATATAGCAATATTAATAAAAACACAACTTTAGAGACATTGTAGGGCTTGAAAGCAGTTAATAATCAAAACTGGAATGGATATCTTTTACATCTTGTCATCTTCAGAGTAGTTGTCTCTACTCTTAGCCTTAATACTGTCAAGCATACCAAATTTGAATAAAATCAGTCAAGGCAAAATAGCAGTCTAACAAACCAGCTTCAAATAAGATGAGTCATAGTAAGACAATGTAATATACAGGGTTTCAGTTTAAGTTAATAGGAAATTAAAGGATAGTTACTGTGGTATAACCTGTTATTTTTGGGTTAGCTGTCTGTTCCCTTAAATCTCTTATGAGTAGACAGACCAGAACAAAATATAATCAAACTAAACAGAGCGATAAGACTACTGTGGCTTTTAAATTCTGATACACTTATAACAATGTCCTCTGCCTTCCTTTTTTGGGCAGTTCCTCACCTTTCCCCTTCTTAGGATGCTCTGTTTATTTTGGGTCCCCCTAGCTTCTATAGATTTTAGATTAGGGGCTCAACCTGTTATCTATCTTAGTGTTGCTGAACCTTTTTACCTCTGAGCTTAATCTTGAGTTGTACTCCTTTACTTACTAAAGCCACAAAGGTTTTTCTTCCTTCCAGCTATGTAGTTCTACACTGCACATAAGTGACATAACTTTACAACCCATCTGCAGCTGCTGACAAGTTGTCCCTATTTTTCTCTGGTTTCCTGTCACATATAGCATTGTTTTCTCATCTTTGACTTTCATTTATTAGCCCTCTTTCAGGTTGAGTATATTTCCTATTCAGAGCCTGTTGATGGATCCTGCTTCCTAATCTACTCTGCCTGTGTTTCTTTTTGCTAGTGTATCAAGGCAATTATATTAAAAATATAGCTTACTGTCTCTGCTTCATCTCTGCTATTCTATTCTTCTGCTATTATATGTCCACTTTACTCCTTCATTCCACTGTCTGCCCCATTCATTGAGGCCTCTCTGCCACTGTTGCTGGAATCTTGGTATTTTTTCCTTTCTCTGGAATGTCCTTGAGTATTTTTTGTAGGGTTGCGTTGGTGGCCATGAACTCCCACAGTTCCTCCTTGTCTTGGAAATATCTAGTTTCCCCATTAATTTTGCGAGAGAGTTTTGCTGGGTACATCAGCCTTGGTTGGAAGTTATTTTTTTTTAGGGCTTGGAGTATCCCCCCCCCCGCCTTCTTGATTTGAGAGTTTGTGTTGATAAGTCTGTTGTTATTTTGATGTTTTGTCCTTTGTAGGTGATCTGCTTCTTTTCTCTGGCCGCTTTTTTTTTTTTAATTGGTACTGGGGATTGAACTCACCACCTTGCTCTTGCAAGGCAGGTTCTTATGCCGCTGAGCTAAATCCCCAGCCCTATCTCTGGCCACTTTTAATATTCTGTTCTTGTGGTGGATTTCTGGTATCTTGATTATTATATGTCTGGATGTAGATCTATTTTGGTTGTAGGTGGCTGGAGTTCTGTATGCCTCATTTATCTGGATATCATTTCTTTTTCTTATGCTTGGGAAGTTTTCCTTAATTATATCTGTGAATAGTCTTTGTAGTTCATTTGTGGTTATTCCTGCTTCTTCGTTTACATTTTTTATTCTTAAGTTATAGATCCTCTTGTCATCTTCTAGCCTTTGAATTGTTTCTTCTGGTTCCTTGTTATTTTTAAGAGATCTTTTGTTTCATGATCATACATCATAAATCTTCAAGTTTCGAAAAGGCTAACTTTAGTTTCTGTCAAGGCATTTTGCCAGCTTTCAGTAGAGTTTTTAGTTTCCTGGTAATCTCTTTGGATCTGTTTTATGTATTCTGGATTTTGTTTATCTTCTTCATGAAAGTTTTCTCCTTTCTGAGTTCCTCCGTTCTTCCATCTGTGTTCTTTTGGGAAGGGCTTATCCTTTCTTTAATTAATCTTTTTATATCTTGCCTTACTTGGATCAGACGTCCAGTTTTAAATTCATCTATGAGGTCTCAAAGGTATTTCTTTATGTTCGCTGATGCTGTGTCTAATATTTCATGATTACTGCACTGGTTCTCTTCTGTATTTACCTCTCCTGGGCTTATT